ATGCGTACCAATCAGAACCAAATCAGATAATGAATTAAAGCTTAATTTATGCTGATTTTTTAGACTTTAACCAGTGTATGACAATCCAATAGTACCACTAGCAAAATCACTATCAGAAAAAGTATCGTTAAATGCTCTAATATAAAGAGTTAGGTCTACAAGACAATTTGTATGACAAAACGGTGAAGAGAATGATAATAATGTTCGATTTTAAAAATCACGAGAAAGGCACTAATAATTAATAGTGAAGTCATTAGTATATATAATTCAGGAATAGTAAAAGCAATCGGTCGGTTCGGATGTAAGAAATTTTGCGTATGGCGCATATCAAAACCCAACGTAAAATTAATCGTACCTTCCTCTATAGGATAAATATATTACTACCATAATCAACCACAGACCAAATACAAATACTGAATACTCATATTGTTTTTATTCAAAAGAATCGTTTTGCATATAAGTACTATAATACATGTTGTGCTACTTAACACAAAATGTTAAAATACTCAAAGTTTGTGGAGAATCTGGCGACCAAACCTATTTATTTGTACACTGAACATGCAAAGTCCGGCTGATTTCATATTAATATATACTGTGTAACAAAAGTTTTTGGAATTTTTATTTACACACAAAAAAAAAAACAATAAAGCCCCAAAAGCTAAAAGTTTTTATTGATGTGACTTTGATAATTTATTCTTTCGCCATTGTTTTTTATTATCTCAAATATTTCTTTCATTGATCTGATACAGTTAATTAAAATGCTATCTGAAACTCGAGCCTAAATTCTCTGATCTCACCCTTATAGCAGTAAGCTATTGCGTTTATGAATAGCAGAAACCAGTCTTATCGGAAACTAAGGTTGTGCTCGGCTGACTGCGTCGACCGGGCGTAGTACAATTACTTCAAGCAAGGGTTTGGGCTTTTTTTGAGTTTTGTATATTAAAGCTTTATCATATCAATTTGGTGACAAATGCTATTTATTTTCAGTATGTGCAGTATTAATATGCATTTATGTTAAATAAATTTGGTAAGGTTTCCCATAGTATGTTTAAACAGTTTATGTCCTAATAGTTGTAGTCATTGATATTCTTTGATGACGCGTTGTCTGTAATAAACTATCTTTATGTAGCAAAATTATTGTATGTCAAGACATTCTCACGGCTGCTCACGAGGTATGCTTGACCAGCGGAGAATATGCTATAGTCTAATGTTAAGGTTACGTTTGTTAGTGTGATCCCCCTGTGTTTGGTGTTTTGTAGGCGCGAACGAATTTTGCAAGAAAAATTGTGTGCGTTATGCTTTTGATTTTGCTGTATAAAAGGAAGACGCTTGACAAGATATCTGGTAGTGGACTATGCCATTTAACGTTATTACTTTTTGTATACAACGCTGCTTTGATTGAAGAATGTTCTTGTCGAAATAGGTAATTCCAACTGTGCCGCTGCAGATACTTTTTCGATCAGCGAATTGTTTAAGTGCATGACTCTTGCTCCTTGTTGTATGGCAAATTTTTGTTTTAGCTTGACATCTGAATGCATTAATTTGCTTTGTAATCATGAATTGTCATTTTCTACTAAGTAATGCGTTATTAATGATACGGTTAATTTGATTTAGTTTTTTATTTTGTAGTGGCGACGAGTTTGTGTAGTAAACGTTGGAGTTTATATTAACTACATTTATTTGGCAAAAACCTTGAATTGATATCATCATATACATTGTATAATCTATCTATACCACGTATATATACATAATTGGATTTCGCATAAACGCCAACTGTTTTTGCCATGACCATCAATTAGGCACAAGGTCAAATTTTAAATTACGTAGGAGTTTATTTGCCGACCCTAGTATTTTCTCATGGCCATGTTGCTTGCTCTAGGACTCGTCTAGGCAAATCCTTAAGATTCTAATAACAAAGCAGGATGTACATCCGGAGGTGTTACAAAAGGTTTGCGTAGACCTGAGCATTACAACAAATATCTCGAGCGAAATTATCAGATTTAGAATCTGACCATTTAGCGACTTTGTTGAGACTAGATATTTACTGAATAATCAATTTATATGTTTTATATAATACAGTATACAGTCAACCTCCCCTATAGTCACACGGTCGGGACCGGATAAAACCTGTGACTGTATGGGGGTGTGACTGTATAGGAGGGATACTTACATTAGTCATGTGACCTATATTATTATAATTCTGTTATTTTATTATTATTATTAGATAACAAATTAAAAATCAACGATATTAATATCGGTATCTAACTAGCACTAAAGTAAGCATCAATACTTTGTTGACGCTTTGATTGGAATTTTTTGAGGTTAAGTAAATTCATATACTTGCGGAAAACACGCAAATCACTAACATCTATGCCTACATCGTTTGGTTGCTGCTCGAAAAATTTAAAAGCAGTTTCCAACCCTATTCGAGCTTCTTTCAGTTGTACAGGTGATGTTTCTTCATTGGAATCATCAATAGTATTTTCTGTATTTTCTGTATCTTCTGCGTTGACCAGGTAAACAATTTCCTCAAATGTAAGCGGCTCCTCAGTTGGAATATGAGTGCCTAATTGATATATACAGTGTTCTATAATTTCGCGACTTTCATCCGATAGATTATCAACAAGTCTTTCATCATTCAAGTTCAAATCTTCAACAAATGACGTTATTAATTGATTATGTTATGCCCAAATATTTATTATTACAAAGCATGATATGACTAATAACACGTGCATTTAAAATTTAATGGAAAGGCGTTACTGGTCTTGAATGTAACACAAGTATTTGGTGACTACAAAGGGGGAATTTTTCATATTGTGCAATAGTAACGGGGATTCAAAATCGGGTGATTGTGACTGTAAAGGAAGTAAATCACTATGAAAATGACTGGGACCGGAGCAGCCTGTGACTGTATAAGAGGTGTGACTATATAGGAGGTGACTGTAGGGGAGGTTGACTGTATTATGGCGCTTTTTCGTCGTTACGCTCCGAAAATTACGCATTATTGACGTTACGAAATGCGACCGTCAGCGAAGCGACTTAACAAACCCGTATTTACAAAAATTAACACAATGCATTGGCAGTAAAATTGATTTGGTTATGTCATACCTCGACACCTCAATACGTCAACTTTTCAACAGAACACACCCTAACAAGGACTAAATGGAGATACGTGACTGACCGTAGGAGTTTCTTTGTGAGAAGTTTTCGTAATTGAACACGGTATTATCCTACATGTAACACTACTATATTAACCAAAAATAAAACGGTAACTTCTTTATCACGTAAATTTAAATCCAGTTGACTGATCAAAAAACGTGCTTTGTAATTCTATACTTGAAAGTCCACTCAATAAATAAAATAATTTCAGCTTCAGGTTAAGTATAAATATTTTAAGTAGTGCAGGTAGTAGTAGTAACCAGTATGGTGTGCAAAAATTATACCATACAGAACAGTTAGTAAATGTAAAACATTCCAACAATTTACTAAAAGACAGTGAGATTATATGTTTAAATGTTTACTATGCACAACTCAACATTTACCAACATCATCCATAAACTAAAATTTACTTTTACATTGAAACTGAAAATACTTCCCAGTCTGCCCATTTAAACTTACTTGAATCTGACCTTATTGCTGTTTTGTATGAGCGCTTTCTAGCATGAGGATTGACACCAGCAGTAGTACCAAAAAATAAATCTCCCCCAAACCCAAAATAAGGATAGCAATCCAACCGTTCACCAATAGCATTATTATAAACAACTGGACTCACTATGTTTTTCTCTGCATTATCCTTATCTAATGAAAATATAAAGCTTTCTGAAGTTGAAACCCATATGATATAAGAAGTCAGACTAGCCAAAGTTTTCCAGGAAATTGGATTATATCCACCAAGTATTTCTTCTGTATCCGATACTTTGCCAACAGCTACTGTGGGTCCTTTCTCAGCACACATTTCTCGAAAATTTTTAAATTTATTACTATCCCTACTGTGTCTATAAAGTAGGGTCAGTTTATAAAAATTATTATTCATTCGAGGTGTTCTTTGATTTTCTTGATTTGGTTTAGTCAATTCCACAATCTTTTGTGTGATCCATGCTGCTTGTTGTGCATTAATGATTACTGAGTCAATGCTAAATATAAACCTGATAGCTGCTTGGCCTTTCCTTTGTGGTAGCATTGGAATAGTTGGTTTGTAGCCATCTTCCATGTGATAATGAAGTATGTCATGGCGTACTGTCTTTGTTAATAATTCGTCATATGGAACAATTTTCTTATTAAAATCTTTGGACGAGATATTAAAGAATCTTATGTGAGGAATAAAATCACATATAACTGCTCTGACTTTAACAACATCATCAAATGACCAATCTCTTGGTTCATTTACAAGTCCTGAAATTTGCATAACGGTCCATTGTATTATGGATGTCCAAATATCAATTTCTTCCATATTAAGCTCATCATGTTTGAGAAGAGTAATCAAGGTCTCTTTTGGTACGCTCTTTAAATCATCAGATTTAAAAATAATCTCTGGCGTTGATACCATGATTTGATTGCAATAATCCAAAAGCCTGCTTAACAAGTTTGAGGATAAAGCACATTTGTGAACGTAAAAACGTTGCGTTGGATCCATTCCTTCTGTTGATTAATCAAATAGTCTCCGACCGCGATAACAAGATCATTCAACTCGAATGTGCATGCGACATCCAAAAAGCCAAGCCAATCTATAACCTCACTTGAATGATGAGTCACTTTTCCTGTGTAAATAAATCTATAACATCAATACGGGTAAGTATAAGTAAATTATTGCTTACGAATGTCGTTGCCGGTAGCAATCTAATACTGATAAATAGTCGTCTCTAGCTAAGAGAACTTACCCGAGGCAAATTTCAAAAAATTCAGGCGTGACATCCTCAAATGCCATGACTGCTTGTTGGATATCATTAGATGATTCTGTATTTCCGGTTAATTTGCTTTCAAAGTATACGCTTCTTGCACACAACACCACTGCATGAGCAAAAAATATTTTGTCCTTCGGCTCTCTTCCAACGCTAATTGAAACGTCAGTATATTTGCCACTTTCATAAAGTTTTCCAAAGTCAGACGAAAGGCCCGAAGATAAATCAACGACATCCACCATGTTACTCATATCGAAGTACGGGAGTATAAAAAGTATTCGACTGCGTTGAACTGATCCTGCCATTGTACCATATTACGTGTGATTACGTCATGTTATTAGGCGTAGTACTAATCAATACATGCTGTTCTCTCCTTTTCACTCAATTGGGGGCCAAAGTTTCAAAATTATACATTTACAATGAACAACTCAATCCACCAATAATTGTTGCATTATAATACGTTTATACAAGAAGTCATACTTCGAACATTTTCGGTTATCTTTCTAACTATTAAGCTTGTTACTTGCTATTATTCGAGACCCTTATGTAATGCAAGACATTTACAAGTGTCGTTGAGTAAAAAATTTTCCTTTTGTAGTATATGCTTAATTTTAAACAACATGAGAGGTCTGTGTTATTGTAGTTCAAAGACTAGATGCAGACAATTTGGTACCAATACCCAAGGTTCGCTGACTCCATTCGCCAAAGAGTGCGGTTTGTCGTTAAAAAATGTTCTATTTGTAATAGAGTGAGTTGTCTCAGCTTCCGGCGATAGGTTTGATGGAGCACTGTTTGACTCTTGTATGGGCGGCAATACTTCTGTATGGTGTGTGTAATTTTAACTTTCCGTCCATCCATCCGCTTGAGCTATCAAGTCTTTAATGCCGAGTTTATTTGCAATAGACCATAGCAAACAAACGTTATTAGTCTGAAAAAATTTATGGTAATACAAGTTTGGTACATTTGTGACCGTCATGAGAAAGAGATAAATACAGCTTATACAGAAAAAAAAAATAACAATTGTAATAATATTAGTATTAAATGTCAGAATTGGTAGTAGTAATTAAAGCAGTATTAAATTTTGTTATCAATCGCAGCTTACTTATTCAACTTGTTACGTTACCATTACATTTGTATTTTAACATCGCGTCACGTTATCGTTTGAGTGATGGACAACATCTTACGATAACAAACGTTATGAGCAAATGTCAGTGGAATCATACAACCGAAATACAATCTACTCTCTTTAATATCAATCTCCGTCAATATCAACACCTCTCTACGGACAAAAATTCTCAATTTTAATATCATATCCCATTTATTTCACGATTAACATGTCAGATTTATTCTTAATTGATAATACATATATCAACTTCAATATAAATTGTATTCTAAATGTCAAATTAAACTTCTGCAGTTATTGCACATCTCTGCATAGTTGATCTGATATATACCACAGTAGCTACAGTCAACCCCTTTATGGATCACAAAAAAAGTTACTATTACCAGTTACATAACAATGTGAATTATATATAAAACAAAACTTCACGTTTGTTGAATGTTTTGCAACTCAGTTTGGATTTAATTTCTTTTGTTACACGCTATCTTTATGAAGTGTCATTTATATCCAAATCAATAAAATGTTTATGGGTGTATATGACCGCAAATATTACAGCAGTGTCATGTGTTTAGCACTTTTAGCAAATATGGGTAAATGTACTGTGATAACGGATGACTCATATTTCTGCGTAGCTCCACATTTCGGGATCACGATTTAAGTTACACATTAATTAGGTGCCAGAAAGCTGAGAGAAACGTAGTTAAAACTGGCACTATATAAGCGACTTAGTTTTCCACTACGATCAGCGTGTCTGGTAGATTGAATATCATATAATAATTATTATTTCTCATCAATAAACCAGTAGTTTTTATACTCTGAATATAAACAATAATCTAATATCGACGATATAGTCAGAAACCGTCAATCCCTATATCATTAGGAGCATTTGCCTCTTGTCCCGCTCATACTCCCGTGGCGTTGAGATTAATACAAACGATAGACCACCAAATTAATCCCATCGGTGAATAATCGAAAGACATATTCGAAGAGCGAGATATTTATCGAGGATTAACGTCTTATAGATCGAATAGAGAATCGAATAGGTAAAGCCTATGATTTCGGTCAATAACTGTCGTCACGTTTAACTTAGCGAGTAGGAGCAAGCTACACCTCCATTGAAATCCCAAGTGTCGATAATTTATCCGGACCGTCGGCATAACAGTGCCGAACTGATCTTGAAACACTATCTGAGTTATTATTATGCAAAATTCTGATGAACATCAAATACCACTTCGTTTTACAGACCCCGAATTGGAAGCGATATTGTTTCCTGATTTATGCATGGATATTACGGGGAAATATCCAATCGTTTAAGTTCACTTAACAATGATGCATTGACATACGGCAAATATATAAAAATACGATTACTAGGATTCGATTCTCGTTTCAGACTTCATCCCGTGTGGATGATGTGGTCATATATGCAATTAGAAAAGCTTGGAAATTTTCAAAATAATGCTCGCATATTTCGCCAACGTCATGTTGATTCCACCCATACTCGCCCTTCTGCCATACAATGGTTACGACAAAGTCATTATACACATGATATGATAGTCGATGAAGATAGGTCAATGCCTTTACCTACTTTTATTCGCACAGGTGATTCTTACTTTGCAGAAAAGGAACATCATATGAATTCCATGGTTAAGGCTAAAGGTTTACCCACGCTTTTTGTCACTTTATCCATGGCCGAAACTAAATGGATTCATTTGAAAGAAATACTCCGTAATACCGATAACGGAGACATTAATCCTACCAACCGTCCGTTCCATGTGTGTATGTATTTTATGCAACGTTTTCGTTCATTAAAAAAAAGATTGTGGAATAACAGTCGCCTTAGTGGATGGAAACGTATCTGTGACTTTTTTGAACGTGTCGAATTTCAAAATCGTGGTGCAGCCCATTTACATATTGTACTATGGACAGAAGCTACGATTAATGAAATGATCTCGTCCAATCAAATTCGTAGTACTATGCCAGATCC